GCTGTCTTGAACAGGAATACTATCAACATCATACATGATTTGTATTGGGGGAACCTTACGTTTTCTAGAAAATATCACCACACTACTTTTAGACACTGAAAGGCTTAAGCCATTCTGATCAAGCCATTTCTTTAGACAAGACAAAGCAGATGATACATTGGAGGAAGCTCTTTCTATAGAGCTATCATTAGAGTAGATAAGAAGATCGTCTGCGTATTGAAGAATTTTAACATTATTTTTAAATACGGTTTCTAAATCATACGTATAAACATTATATAATAGAGGACTTAGGACAGAACCTTGTGGTAAACCTTTCCAGACAGTTCTGGCCATGTCATTGTCAAAATCAAATATTAATTTCACAGTTCGCTCATTAAGTAAATTAATAATTAAGTTAGAAAATCGGAGGGGAACATCAAGAGCTTCCAATTTAGACTTTAATATCGATAAAATTACATTATCGTACGCGGACTTTATATCAAGGAAAGCAGCGACTACTGATTTATTGGACGTAAAAGCTAATCGAACGTCTATGGTGAATATACTAATATTATCAATAGTACTTTTGCTTTTACGGAACCCATATTGACTGTAAGAAAGAGCCTGTTTATTTTCTAAAACCATTCCAAACGGGTTTTTATTAAATGTTCAGCCAACTTGACTAAAACAGTAGATAACGCTATAGGACGATAGTTATCAGCAACATTTGGTGATTTATTAGGTTTCAATACTGGCAATACTCTCTGAGATTTCCATGGTAACGGGACGTTTCCAGTTATCATGAAACTATTTACGATATCTAAATAACCTAAAAGTACTGTATCACTAAGATTTGAAAAGAAACTATATGGAATTCCATCATCACCTGGCCAGGAGTCTCTAACGCTGTTGATAATACCTTTAAGTTCATATAAAGTAAATGGACGTTCTAAGTAATGTGTGGATAACGTTAACGAGGAGGCTTGTAGGGTTAAATTATTTTCCGGGACCCATGGCGGTGCTAATTTATCAAGAAAGTCGTTCGCAAGAGTAGGAGGAAGAGTAGAAAAAGAAGTTTTGTTAAAGGCAGATCTAAAACGTTTAATATTATTCCAGACTATTGAAGGGTGGACATTAGGAGAAATAGAAGTACAGAAACGCTTCCAGCCTTCAAATTTCTTATTTTTGAATAACTTTTTTGTTTCTGATTTTAGTTTACATAGTATTTCATAGTTAGTATATGTCATATTTTTACAATAGTCTTTCTGCATTTTTCCTTTTTTTAATTGCTTGGGTGCATTCGCTGACCCACCAAGAATTCTGCTTAAAGTATTTGCCTTGGAAGGAAAAGTTTCAGAGGCAGCTTCTGTTAAAATGTCAGTCAGAATTTGTGCACAAGCAATATCATTACTACTGTTCACACTTGGTAGTTGATTAAACTTAGCGTCAACTCTATCCTTGAAAGTTTTCCAAGTAGTGTCGTCTCTAATAGAATATTTATATTTTCTCAAACATAACTTTTGGGAGTGCTTTACCTGATGACTTGGAAATCCAATGATTATTGGATAGTGGTCACTACCATATGTATATGTAAGAGTCTCCCAAGACAAAGAAGAGGCTAAGCTTGGAGAAGAAATAGATAAATCTACAGTACTTATATTCTGATTTGGATCTGTACATCGTGTTGGGCTACCTGTGTTAAGGAAACATAAATTATGTGTGTCCAGTTTGTCAGTATGTATGTAAGATGAAGGTTGTGGTATATACACTGATACTAAACAAATATTATTAAAACTTATAGCTACTATAGAGATGTCATCACAATGTGGAGGAATAGTTATATTTATATATGGAATTGTGTTCTTAATAAGAATAGCTGTTCCTCCACCGTTTCTGTCTAGTCTGTCATCTCTCACTGTACAATATCCATTAATATTAAAAGATTTATCAGGTTTAAGCCAAGTTTCTGACAAAGCAAAGGCAAATGGCTTATATTTATTGGTGAGATATATAAGGTCACTTTTATTACTTATGATACTACGAATGTTCCACTGAATTATATTGCAAAGATCCATTATTGGAATGTTGTATTATATTTTCAAGTAAAGGGGCAACGTTGGGCGGTGAAATCAATTGGTATTTAGCTAATAAATTAAATAGAGCAGAAATTAATTCTAATTGTGAGTCATTATCTTGTTGTTTAGATGTTAATAGAGCACATCCATTTGATGGGGCAGGGATTGCAAAATCATTTATAATAGCATTGTGTGCATCTCTATCATAGCCAATATTGTGGTAATTATTTTTTTGGGGTTTTAGAAACACTGTTTTCTTGTATGATGTTGAGGGTGATCTATTGTGTTGAGTCAGTGGCATATTATAGTTTTTATTGTAAATAATGGGATTAGAAGAAGGTTTTGATATTAAGGTGTCAGCATATGATTTGGAGACATTAGGATGTACCTTGGCAGCTTCTGCATAAGACACACAATTTTGGGCCATATATGTTTTAATTTGTTTTTGCCTCATAAACTCTGGGCAAGTTTTGTTAGTAGCAAAATGGAAACCAGTACATAAACAACAACTAGCATCCTCCTCTGCAGTGCCACAAGAGTCACCAGAGTGGTCTTTACCACACTTGTAACATCGAGGACTTGATCTGCACTGTGCCCTTGTGTGACCAAAACGACAGCAATGATAGCATTGTATTTTGGGGAATATACAGAAATCTACATTTAAAGCATTATAGCATAGAAAAACTCTTTTTGGAAGGACTTGTCCATCAAATGTGATAATGACTGTCTGAGATGGCTTCCATGTGGGATTGCCTTCAACAAAAGTTTTGAAATTCATTCTTCGGACTTTGATTATATTACCACATCCTACAGGCACAGATAAATTAGCCATGACCTCTTCAGGAGACCACTCAGCAGGAACACCTCTTACCAATCCCATTCGTGTTACATTAAATGTAGGTATAAATGCTTTAAATTTGTTCTCCTCAAGCGACTTGTTATTTAGAAAGGAATTGCAATCTTTATAATTAGTAAAACCGATAGCAATTTTATTGCGACCTACTTTCTTGACACTTCCGTTAACAATATTTGGGAATCTATTTTTCTTTAAAAAATTGCCAAACTTCACAGGGTGAATCGTGAATTTATCATCAGGGGATGTTAATATTTTTTGGACGTGAAGAATGAAAGGAGCTACGTCAGTCTCACAGTAATTTTTCCGGCCAATTGGGGTAGATGAAGGTAAACTCTTTTCATTTGTTGTATTAGCAGTTATATTTGTAGTGGGCTTTGAAGACTCTGGCATGGGTAATGGAACTGGTGGAGGAGTAAGATCTGATTCAGATGTACATGAACAACCATTTATTTTAGCTTCAGAGTTACCATGTCTCGTTCTTTTTTTGTTGCAGTGTTTACAAATAATATTTGAGCGGCGACTCCGCTTTAATGTCCTATTGGAGGTGGATGCATCAGTATCCATTCCTGATTCCGACTGCACAGTGACAAAATTACCTGCCGGGGGGACGAATCCCCCCGGGTCATCGGGGGGATCGTTCATGACGGTAAAAAAGTAGTAAGAGGACTTACCAATGATCCAAATATGTACACAATATATTAAATAATAATTAATATTTACAAAAATATACAAAATGTAGGGTACATTTTTCTGATCGAAAAATTAATATATAAAGTTTTTCACCATAAAACGCGTCTACCAAGTTAAACGTTTCCCGCGCTTCTTTTCCTTGCTTTTTTCCCTTGTTTTTTTATATCTTTTTTTTCCATCTTGGGAAAGGCAAAGGCAGAGCCTTGCAGCCAACCATACTGTTTCCTTAATTTTTACTTGACATTGGCTGAACGCACAAACCGTGCATGCCATAAAAAAAGAAAAAGAAGAAGAGTTTTTGGCGGGATTTCATCGAGTGTGGTTGGCGTCTTATTTTAATTATTCTTAAATTCGTTCATTAGACCAGCCCCTCTAGCATGACCACCGAAACGGGATATGATAAAGCGACATATCGACATTAACTGTCAGACTACTGTCAAACTCCATAGTAGTATAATTTAAAAAATGGTGAAAAGTGAAAAAAAATTGTAGTAGGATGAAACCCATTAGAAAAAATAGAGAATATAACAAAAATGAAAGGAAAAATAAATTACGGGCGATCTGAGGTCGGGAAGGGAGAGGGGGTGAGTTTTTAAGGGTAAAAATGGTTAATCTCGATTTCCGTTAAAACTGCAAGTCCTATGAAAAAAAGTTAAATGGCAAAGTTGTAGGTAATAAAAAGATCTACAACTTTTGTAGCGACACTTTTTTCACATAACCTCAAAATTTATGTGAAAAATGCGAATAACCGAGTTTTTGGTTTTTGATTTTTATTTTTTGCAAAAAAAAATATTTTTTCACGAAATTTGGTGAAAACTTACTTTTGTATGTCCTAAACATACAGTAATTTTTTTGATTTAAAACATTCATTTTTTCACCTTATTTTGACTTAATATCGAAAAAGCACCCTTATTTTCAATCGAAAATTCTCACGTCAAAATATCTGCTTTTTTAAAAAAGTTGGGGTGTTTTTTGTTTGTTGAAATCTCTACTTTATGATGGTATAAAAAAATTCTAATGGGTTTCATCCTACTATAATTTTTTTTGGTCTCAAAAATTATCGACCTTGGTCTACATAGTGTATATTGTGAAATAAAATTGGTGTGATTTTGTGTTACAACTGTCTGCGTAACTGAAGAATTAGTAGAATCGTCAAAATATACGCTATTCCGGTCAAGTGGACGTGAGAATTTTATTGTAGTATTGACTACCTCACAGAAGCTTATCGAAAAAGCCAGCTCGATACATTTCATGCCAAACACTTCAAGAAACATTAGAATGCGTCACACCGACATTCTAATGTAAAAAGAAAAACAGAATAATTTAACTTAAGACTAGGGCATTGTTCCCTTTGCCTTCCCTGAAAAGGGAGAACTAAACAAAAAAAAACGGTTCTATGGGCCTGTCAGTGTCAGTGGATGGGTGGCCTGGCCAAAACAACCAAATTCATCCAACACAAAAAAAATAATTACATTGCTCCACTTTTAAGAGTTTTAAGATTTTTATGTAAATTGTAATAAAAATGGAGGAAGAACAATGCTTACACGAATGTGAGAGTTATGTGCAAAGTCATAATATTCAGCTGCTGCTCAAAGATTGCATTGTACAGCTTTGTGTAAATAAACCAGAGAACCCCGTTTCCTTCTTGAGACAATATTTCCAGAAACTAGAACGGGTAATTTTGATAACATTTGTGTTAAGTATTTAAAATTTTGTGGGTTTAGCAGGGCCTATATACCTACACACCATTTTCTAAATACCATTATCGTTTAATTAATTCTTCTGTGCATTAGTTTGATACAGATCTAAATTATCACGGGTATTAATAAAATTGAAATTTGGTGTTTATTGTAACAGGAGCAGGTCAAAGCTGCTGCAGCTGCAGCAGCTGCATCAGAAGGAGAAGCTGATGGCGAACTGTCACCTCTGCCTGTTCCTGGAGTTCAACCGTCCCGACGGCGTGGTGGTATCAGTGCCGAGCCTGTAACAGAAGAAGATGCTACTAGCTATGTCAAAAAGGTTAATTTTGCTCTTTCTTCTATTTGTAATTAGTTAGGTACCACAAAATTAAATCATAAGCTATGGCCATATTAATACCGTTAGCCCCCTGGAAGTAAGTTTTCACCAACAGAAATGTAACACAAATGGATGGTACCATTCTGGGCGGAGGTGTGATAACTAAAGAGTCCCGCCCTCCATCCCTTGATTCCGTCAGCCTAGGCACATCTTAGAGTACCTGGATTATCACCCATGCCAATGCGCCTCCATCTCCTCCCACACAGGTCACAAACACCAACACTACACAGCTAGCAAACTTGCACACTAGCTAATGCTTAAAATACTTTTTATTGGCTTCCGAGCAGTAAGTAAAACCGACATATCAATGTCTTTCATTTGGGCACCCATTTTATTACACTTATCCTGATAATATATTTTATATGAAAAAAAGAAATCGTTCAAATCAAATCAAATGTATTTATTTTTCATCACAGGTATAATTATGCTATAGGTAAAAATAATCTTATAGTAACACCATTATGTACATGGCAAGGCATGCAAATATTTTACAAATTCCGCATAACATTATTACTCTTATTACAAAAAAATAATAAAATAAATACATACTTACTAAATATGTGTATAAGTAGATAATAAAATTAATTGTGTATGTCAATAAAATATTTATATTAAATGAACACTTTTCAATAACATATTTTGGTAATTCTAACTTATATTTAATTATTTCAGATACTTATAAAGTTTTGAAGGTATCTCAACCACACTTATTTTCATTAAAGCAGTATTGTATGCATAAGTTTGAACTTTGCATTATCATGGGTATAGACCAGAATGTGTTAGTTCCAAACAGGGGAATAAATCGGGATGTATTTTCACATTAAGTATGACTCAAATATAATATATATATATAGGGCAATTTCAAAAGTCTTGGGCTTGAATTATAGAAGGACAACTAAGTAATGATCTTTACTTGAGTACAGTTAGACTTAAAATATGGTACACAATAACTGTTGGAAAAGTGTTATAAAATTGTAAATGTCAACTATATTTTTTTTATTACTACTTGTGTTTATTCATGTGTTTATTGTGGCAATTATGAACCAAGACAAAAAAATTCTAAATGTTTTTGAAATTACAGGTTGTGCCAAAAGATTACAAAACTATGGGTGCTTTATCACGAGCAATAGCGTCGAATGTACTATTCACACACCTTGATGAGTCAGAGAGAGCAGATATGTTTGATGCAATGTTTCCAGTCCAATGTCTTCCAGGAGAGACAGTTATTAGACAAGGTGATGAAGGAGATAATTTTTACATAATTGATTCTGGTGATGTAGAGGTAAGATAATCATATTTATATATTTCCCACTTAATTTATATTACTGACAATTTAGTAGAACCCCTTAAAAATATATTTACATAGTTGTTAAATCAGGGCAGTGTACATTAATTGCAACTGTATTTTTAATTCAGCCAGGGTTCTATTTCCCTCATAGTTGATCATTGTGGGCCTATGGTAAATCAAGTTACTTCAGATACTTTAGGGGAGGGGGGGTCTGATTTTAACTTCAAAAGTATAGTTATCATAATCTGTTGTTCTATTGGTATCTATATACAAATTAATTTAATTGGCGCGTCATCAAAGTTACTAAAAGTGCCATTGCTACTTCTCAACATTCTTCCTGTTAAATACTTTCATCACTATAAGCATTTTTCTCAAGTCCGACGACTATTGAATGCTTCGAGCTTCACAAATGTGCTTAGAATTGATAATTTTAGGTTTTAGTGAACGGTGAACCGGTGACTACCATCGGGGAAGGCGGTAGTTTCGGTGAGCTGGCTCTGATATACGGAACGCCGCGCGCCGCTACAGTGCGCGCGCGAACGCCGCTCAAGCTGTGGGGGCTGGACCGCGACTCGTACCGCCGCATACTAATGGGCTCCACGATCAGGAAGCGGCGGATGTACGACGAATTCCTGTCGCGCGTATCCATATTGGGTAGATTTATTAGTTTAATTTTATATTTTAGTACGATTAACAGCTATCAATCACTTATTAAATAAAAAAAATCTATATCTAGTAAGCTTATAAATACTGCTTCGGGTGCCCGATGAAGACTTTTATGCCCCCGAATACGGCCTAACGACCAAATGTAATTGCGCCATTAGACTTCACTTATCACTTTATTTTTATTTCACAGTTGGTTTCAAACTGTGCAGTTGTTATTTTCGTGAAACTCCACGCTCATCTCCATTTAGTTTACTGCGCCGCGTGGCTTACGGTTCCTTTACAGCTGCTATTGGGGCATATTACACTGTCAATAATATCACGATGTCGTTATATTATTGACAGTGTTATATGCCGTATCTCGATGGCTCTCAAGCTGTGGGGGCTGGACCGCGACTCGTACCGCCTCGTACTAATGCGCTCCACGATCAGGAAGCGGCGGATGTACCACGAAATTCTGTCGCGCGTATCCATATTAGGGAGATTTATTAGTTTTTAGTTTAATTTTATATTTTAGTAAGGTTAAGAGCTATCAATCACTTATTAAATAAAAAAAAATAGAAGTAGAAAAGTAATAAATAAGCCAAATAAAAACCTCAGAATTAAACATGCTTATAATAACTATTATTTTCTATCAATCTTTCATCCTACTTATAATATGCTTATGCTGATATCTTAATTTTAAAGCATATTATAGTCATTCGTTCAACCTATAGTTAGTCTGATTGTCACTGGGCTTGTCAAAAATAAGTCAATAAATAGTTAAAAGTTTTTGTATTAGTTACACTAAGTGCCTAAGTTGTTCAATGAAACAGCTTCCTATTCTTATCCTACTAATATTATTAATGTGGAAGTTTGAAGTATGATCATGATGATGATGAAAGTTTATTACTTGGAATGAGACATAAGGTACTTTTTACCCTGAAAAAATGTTACTTCTTGAGGAATTCTCAAAAAACGGGTGGCCGCTATTTAGTTCTATACATGAACTGTTTCAAATAGTCTTTATCATTAAATTAAACACATTTTTAAAATAGTAAAACATCGCATATACACTATTGCATATAAACCGGGTCACTTGCTATCTTGGAACTCTGAATAAATACAACTATCAAAGTTATACCTACTACAGCAGGGTGCGTTCCAAGGTGATTCAAATAATCAGTAAACTATTGAGATTAATCAGTTTATGAAGTTTTAATTGAGAATTTTCCAAAGCACTAAAATCATAGCAAAAATAACGTCTGAGAAGACAGGGAACAATAATTAAAGCTGTGATGAAGTATCAGACTAATGTCATGTTTTAAAAAAGAACGATAATTGCAACTTTAATAAAATATTAGCAAAACATTCTTGCTTGCTTACAATATACTTAAGATGCTTTTTTGTCATGTTTCTCATCATGAAACGCTTTGATATTTGTAAGTTTTATATTTTTAAGAGAAAAGCGAAACAGAGCTCCAACTAGCGGGTAATCCGGTTTATTTGTTGTCGAGTGTTAAAAGGGTAATAAAGGTTTTACCGACATAATTGACGATTGGGGTGCGTAAAAACAAAAGAAATAAATAGTTTATACAATGAAAATGAGATATTATTTTATTAGATCATTTTGAGAAACCATTTAATTAAAGATCTGCACCAAGTGGAATGTTTTCTAATCAAAATTGTCTTGAAATTTATAAATTAGCTTAGTATTTAAATGCTTTAACTAAAATTATAAACCATTTAGGTATTTATTTATATAACAGGGCCGCGGTAGCATAATGTTTAGTCCATTAGCCCGGATAGCGAAGGGTGCGGGTTCGAGTCCCGTCGGTAGCCTAGTCCGCTTGGATTTTTTTTCTAGTAATATTTTCTTTATATTTAAACATCGAGCAGTTACATGCTTAAAAAATATAGCTATAATTGCTATTTCTTCTTTCGAATGTTTAATACTTGTAAAGGTATTCATTTGACAATGTAGGTTTTCTACAATGCGAAGAGATGGCTCTGCCTTGCAGCTTAAGAAAGTCTAGAAAGAATTCGAAACGGTCATCAGGGCCGCGGTAGCATAATAGTCAGTGCATTCGCCCGGATAGCGAAGGGAGCTGGTTCAAGACCCGTCTTCTGCCTGATCCGCGTGGAATTTTTTCTAGTAATATTTTCTTCAGATTTAAACATTGAGCAGTTACATGCTTAAAAAATAAAAATTATAAATATATTATAAATTTTTTTTCGCAGAGAGCTTAGAAAAATGGGAGCGGTTAACAGTAGCAGATGCGTTAGAGCCTGTGTCTTTCACTGACGGCGAAATAATTGTTCGCCAAGGTGAACCTGGAAACGACTTTTACATCATTGTAGAAGGTAATTATTTGTCACGACATCTTTAACCTTTACTCAGGACTAAGCAAAATACATGCTTTGCTTTAATTAAAATACAAATTACAACCACATTCATAAATTTCACTTTACTTTGCGTATAACACGAAACATGTTGTTTATACGTCCGTTTCCAAATGTAATCGCCTACGTTAAAGGAAATATCTCTACGTCGACTGTTATAGTACTTAACGATCCTATCGTGGACTTTTCGCAGTGAGTCCTGGACCTTTTTGAAGATTTCTCCTAAATGACCCAGATTAGACGCATGAGTATTCCGGGGTACTATGAATCATTTAATAAAACCAGGTTTTATTAATTTGACCGCGTCTTTTATAGCAAGTTATTGGAGGTACCTATGGCGGCATAGCTGAGCAAGCACCGTCTTATATTTTTAGTAGCATAAAGTAATTCGTAGAAATGTAAAGGACATTGTTCTGCGTCCATACATAGTTAGCCTAAGAACCAACAATCATGAAATATTATTTTCTAGGTTCGAACTCGCAAGTAAATGACTGTAAAAACAAAGTTAGTTGACGGACACTTCTGAGAACTTAAATTATAAGGAAAACTAAAATTTTTTTGAGGTTATGTTTAATATTCAATGAAACATATGAACTTAGTATGAACTCAGTATGAAGTGAATTAATATTACAACTAATTCATTTTATTCAGTGCGATTTTAAAGAATAACTATTAGGAAAAACTTGGTTAGGTAGGAATCCATACTATACTATACTATATATAATATTATAATTATAATAATATTTATAATCTTATAATCTTATAATAATAATATAAATGGGAAAGTGTGTTTGTTTGTTTGTTTGTTTGTCTTCTCTTCACGCCTAAACCGCTGAACCGATTGTGAGGAAATTTGGTATATGTATAGCTTGAACTTATGAGACTGCTATAGGCTACTTTTTTTTTAATTTATGTATTCGAATTTACATAATTTTCAACTAAATTAATCATTTTCATGGTTGGTCCCGATACTGACACGAAGACAGATTAAATTTGAAATGTGGAAGTTGCTATCTTAATACGAGATGGCACCACTCGTGTTCAATACCGAGTATTCTGTGTTAGTGTTTCATTTATTAAATCGAGGTAATTTTACGCAATTTCTTTCTAATCTCATTTTTAAAATTAAATCTAGCAAATACTACTCTAAATTTATAATATAAAAATATCATTTTCGAGTAATTATAGATTCTGGCTGTTGCTTATAATAATAAGAGATGGCGCTACCATCTCGAATACCAACTCAACCGAGTAGTCTCTCTGGAAATAATATTTTCTGAGTAACTTAACAGAAGTTAACTTAACAGAACTTAACAGAGCCCGTCTTTAAAATGAGTATTTTTAATTGCTAAAAATGTGAGTTGTGATATTGCGTTTTTACAGATCGCGCTATTTATGAACATGACTTTTTAATATTTATTGTTAACTAGCGGCCCGCCCTCGCTTCGCTTCGGTGTAGAGCTGTAGTGTAGACTATAGATTTTTATTCTCAGGCGTGTATTGTACACATTGAATTTATTTATTTAATTATTTTTTTATGATTCTTTTTTTATTTAATAGGTAATAATGTTAACTTTTTAAAATTAGGGATGAGTGAGAGTATTATAAACGTAAGAGTAAACAAATATAATCAGAATGCTCCGAACTGCTAAGCTATCAGGAGTTACACGTATTATTGTGAGTCAACCATAAAAGATAGACATATTCCGTTGCAGGATATTTCTTAGACAATTTTATGTAGAATATTTCCGTCATACATGATTTCTATGTAACTTTAACCATTAAGGCTGCACACGCGACGGAAGCTTAAAAAATGGAGTAACTTCTCCCGTTTTCCCAACATTTCCCTTCACTACTCCGCTCCTATTGATTGTAGCGTGATGAAAAGTATACTATAACCTGCCTAGGAGTATGAAGAATAATTGTACCAAGTTTCGTTAAAATCCGTCAAGTAGTTTTTGTTTCTATAAGGAACATACACACAGACAGACAGACAGACAGACAAAAATTTTACTGATTTCATTTTTGGCATCAGTATCGATCACTAATCACCCCCTGATAGTTATTTTGAAAATATATTTCATGTACAGAATTGACCTCTCTACAGATTTATTATAAGTATAGATTTTAACGTGATGTAGGTAGATATTTTAATTAAAACAATATTAGTAAAAAAAAAACGACTTCCTTCAGTGTCCTAATATCTTACCAGAAAATCTTATAAACATCAAATAGATATTAAGCTGTTATGATTTATTTTAGTCCCTTAATCAAGTATTATCCAATAATTTTCAAGTGAAGATTGATCCTGGATGTTGAGTAGCGGTAGGCACTACCAACTCGAATAACAATTCGAAAACCAAGCTGTTGCATGTGAAACTGAAAAGATGTCGCTACCTTAAAATAATAATAATAGCCCTAGCCCTAACCCTAGCTAAAATAATAATAATTAAATAAAAATAATTAAATTAAAAAAAAAACAAAAAGGAATATTAAAAAGCAAACGTTTTGACGATTAACTTAACACATTGATCTTGGGTTTTTGTGAAAATAGGTGAATGGATAATTATTCGCAATTTTTTTGGATTTTAAATACCTACCTACTATAAACAAGTTGAGTAGGTGCTTACAAAACATTTTTATACTGTTGTAACTAAAATAGGTATTTTTTTTATAAAAAAAAATATTTCATATACCTTCACCGTAATAAAGACGCGCAAACGCAAATCTAGCCTTTATAGAGTATCCTCTCAAGCACGAGCAAATAGATTAACTAGGTCGCAAGAATCTCTTGAAGAAATTGAACTGAGAAGGCAAGAACAGGCAGATCGCCAAACTGCTTTGAGGGCCTCAGAATCTCACTCGCAGACACAGGAAAGGCGTCTTGAACAGTCTGAACGTCAAGCGAATTTGAGGGCCTTAGAATCACTCGCAGACACAGAGAAGACTTCAGGAGCAGACAGAGCGGCAGGCTCATTTGAGAGCCGCTGAATCGGATGTTCAGTCTCAACAAAGACTACTTGAACAAGCGGGGCGTCAAACTGCTTTAAGAGCTGCAGAAACACCTGCTGAAACTCAGCAAAGACTTGATGAGAAAGCAGAACGACAAGCTTTTTTGAGGTCATTCGAAACACCTGAACAAGCACAGGCGCGCAGAGATTTAAATGTACGGCTTCAAGCAGAAAAGCGCCGTAATTTTAATAGAAATAAGCTACTTTTTTACTCACTATGTCAAAAGAGGATGATAGCCTCAAATAGGAAAACCACGCGAGCGTAGCCGCGGGTAACAGCTAGTCATGAATAAAATAAAAACTGTAGTTTTGCTTCTTATTTATTGACTACTAGTGGCCCGCCCTCGCTTCGTTTCGGTGTAGAGCTGTAGTGTAAACTATAGTTTTTGTTCTCAGGCTAAAGCTATAAACAATGACTTTATTTATATAATTACACGTGTTATTGTGAGTCAACCATAAAAGATAGACATATGCTGTTGCGGGATATTTTTTAGACAATTCTATGTAGAATATTTCCGTCATACATGATTTCTATGTAACTTTAACCATTAAGGCTGCACACGCAACGGAAGCTAAAAAAATGGAGTAACTTCTCCCGTTTTCCCAACATTTCCCTTCACTACTCTGCTCCTATTTACTGTAGCGTGATGAAAAGTATACTATAACCTGCCCAGGAGTATGAAGAATGATTGTACCAAGTTTCGTTAAAATCCGTCGAGTAGTTTTTGTTTCTATAAGGAACATACACACAGACAGACAGACAGACAAAAATTTTACTGATTGCATTTTTGGCATCAGTATAGGCTAATCACCCCCTGATTGTTATTTTGAAAATATATTTCATGTACAGAATTGACCTCTCTACAGATTTATTATAAGTATAGATATAGATTATTCACATACTTGTATTATACTGTACATTGGTTTTATTTGTATAACACATGTATATTGTGCAAATATGCAGCGTGAATGTGTATCAGGTGCTCTTTAATAATTTCGCAGTATGATCCTCTCAGGATGTTGTGGCACAGGTTCACTAGCACTTGGTAATAAGGTTGCTCTTTGGTAAAATCGATGGCATATTAGATAGCCGAAACAGTTAAATTAAAGGAAAAACAATCGCAAACAAACACACAAAACAGGTAATCCGGTATATTAATACTACTCTGAGGTAATCCGAAACGAGAACGCACGAATGCCACAGATAACTACGAATGCAAACTGCCTGCACCACAACCACAGAGTATCGAGTTTTATGCCAGCCCTTCACTTGACAACAGTTTGTCCTTGTCATGCTTAATAAGGAATGAAAAGGACAGACTGATGTCATGTTTTAAATAGCAAATACGACTAGTTAAGTGAAGTGCCGGCATTAGGAAGAAAGAGTGTTTGCAGCGCTGTCATAGATTATACACATAAAATGGTATTTATGGTCTCAGATTATTTTTAACTTTTTAATTTAGCTTACTTAACTGGAAGTGTCCGTGACAATCTAAATACTGATAATTATCGCAAAAAATATACTAAGAATTATCATAAATGCCAAATTGGTGTTGGTCTTAGGCCAATTTTAACATTGTCCTTTATGGCAGTTGTAAAGTTAGCAGCGAGTGCAACTACGCGCAGGTTTTAGTTGAGTAAAACCAACCACATATACATAGAGATCGGACTGAGTGGGACTCGTTTGGTATTAAATACTCTCTGAAAAGTGACAAAAAACAACAAATACGTAGGCGAACTATGGGCTGCCCTATAGCTTCGCCGCTCTCATGGCACGATTACACTTGGTCGTTAGCCCGAATACGAGTGCCAATGGAATTCGGTTTAACTATTTAGTGTAAAAATGAACGCAGTTGAGTACGCCTGCATTCGGATAGATTTCCTTTTGTTTAGCCGACACCGTCTTCCAACCCGTATTCCACTGTAAATACTGCTTCGGGTGCCCGAATTCGAGTAAAACTTTCATGCACCCGAATACAGCCTAACGACCAAATGTAATTGCGCCATTAGACTCCACTTATCACTTTATTTTTATTTCACAGTTGGTTACGAACTGTGCAGATGTTATTTTTGTGAAACCCCACGCTCATCTCCATTTCGTTTACTGTGCCGCGTGGCTTGCGGTTCAATAATATCACGATGTCGTTACATTATTGACAGTGTTATATGCCGTATCTCGATGGCGCAAGTGGTTAGCGCGTTCGGCTGCGATCGTTGAAGTAAAGTAACTTTCGCAGTGGTCGGTCATTGGATGAGTGACCAAAACTTTAATATCTCGAGCTCTTCCGTGCTTCGGAAGGCACGTTAAGCCGTTGTTCCCGGCTGTATCTACAGTCGTTAGCACCCTCCAATCCGCACTGGGCCCGCGTGGTGGGTCATGGCCCAATATCCCTATTTTATTCATAGGAAAGGCCTGTGCCCCAGCAGTGGGGACATTAATAAGCTGATGATGATGACGAATATGCCGTATCGCCGCTACAGCTTGTGATACTGCGATCTTAGTAACGCGACAATATTGCTCAATGTAAAATACCCCATTGAGTTTGAATGCCAGTTTAGCTTTGTACAGTGAGAGGTGTGTGTCAGGTTGCGCAGTGGTGCTGCAGCAGCGCAGCGGGCAGGGCGCGGCGGTGGAGGTGGGCCGGCTCGGGCCCTCCGACTACTTCGGAGAGATCGCGCTCCTGCTCGACCGGCCGCGCGCCGCCACCGTGCGCGCCGCCGGCCCGCTCAAATGCGTCAAGCTGGACCGCGCCAGGTGAGCGCCCTCTAGTGATACTGAGGAGAGATCGCGCTCCTGCTAGACCGGCCGCGCGCCGCTACCGTGCGCGCCGCCGGCCCGCTCAAATGCGTCAAGCTGGACCGTGCCAGGTGAGCGCCCTGTAGTGATACTGAGGAGAAATTGTGCTCCTGCTCGACCGGCCGCGCGCCGCCACCGTGCCCGTCGCCGGCCCGCTCAAGTTCGTCAAGCTGGACCGCGCCAGGTGAGCGCCCTCTAGTGATACTGAGGAGAGATCGCGCTCCTGCTCGACCGGCCGCGCGCCGCCGGCCCGCTCAAAGGCGTCAAGCTGGACCGCGCCAGGTGAGCGCCCTCTAGTGATACTGAGGAGAGATCGCGCTCCTGCTGGACCGGCCGCGCGCCGCTACCGTGCGCGCAGCCGGCCCGCTCAAATGCGTCAAGCTGGACCGCGCCAGGTGAGCGCCCTGTAGTGATACTGAGGAGAGATCGCGCTCCTGCTAGACCGGCCGCGCGCCGCCACCGTGTGCGTCGCCGGCCCGCTCAAGTGCGTCAAGCTGGACCGCGCCAGGTGAGCGCCCTGTAGTGATACTATAATAATAATAATATACCATTTATTTTCTCCTCACACAAGGTGTAACAGTACAATAGGTAACTAACTTAATCAATACAAATACATAAACCTATTATGTGGGAGACTGGTGCCCGTAAAAGGCAACTACGAATAGCTACCTGTACTAACAGGTCACCAGGCCCTGACTATCATACATAAACCACGTGATGTACGAGCAAGCGCGTACATCGTCACATCAGCACATTTCGGTGACCTAAATTACCTAGGTATTCACAATTAATTTTATTGCACAAAATCAGTTCGCAATCATCAACTCATCAAGTCACGCGTACTCATAGCAATTATTATTTTATAGTTATCTTTAGTCCTTTCTCCAAATATACAGTTTTATACTACAATATCAGTTTATAATTTATTAGTTCCAACCCGAACATTGGTCTTTCGAGCTAAACGGGATAGCGGGACCAGGAACGCCGTGAGTGAACTGTGAAACGTGTCAGTGTTTCCGCTTACCAATACAAAATAACTTAGTGTATTCACTGAGTACCTATACTCACTGTGTCAAATCAAGTGGCGTAGTGAATTATCAAGAAATACCTTGCTGTGCTATCAAGACGCACAGCAATCTTGCAGCAAGGATCCAGCAGGGCAGTACGTGGCTACCCCGAGTGGCAAAGTCATCCAATCAAGTAAGACCTGTCAATTTATTTCAAGTTAGCCATGTCGTCTGCTAGCGATGTTATTACCAACCAACAGCAGATAGCAGGAGCGATCGAGACTCTATATACCAAATTCATGAATTATAGTTCCAGTAGGAAAACTCCAGAATATCTGAAGCGTAAGATAGTCATTCTCGATAGCTATTGGTAAGAATATGACACCAATTACAAAAAATTGATAGCTAGTGAGTTAGATGTGTCAACAAGAGATTACATCGATCAGGATTTGGAGAGAGTGAAAAAGAGGTATGGTAATATCAGAATTGATCTCATCTCCAAAATTATCAACCTGTAGCAGAGGATAGGCCAAAAACGCCTATCTTAAAACCCCCTACCTTTTTGCCTCAATCAGGTGATGCTTCCAAGTTCGAGGGTGGGAATCCAGCCCACCAATCAAAAATTACAGTAAGTAGGACGGAAGAAATGTTGAGAAAGCAACAAAGTAATTTTAGGGCTTTTCATAGAACGGTTCAAGGCATTAACTTAGATTCTATTTCTGAAAAATGGGAGTTTGAAGATTTGCTTCGCACTGTTCAGTCTCGGTGGGGTGCAATAGACTCGTTACACTGGGATCTGGACAGCGAGTTAAATGGCTCTAATCAGGAATATGAGCAAACATTTTCAGCGTACGAGCGTAAGTATGACGCAATCAAGAAGGCTGTAAACAAGAAGATGTGGTCAGTAGCGCATATTGAAAACACTACTCCTAGAATGGAAATTCCGATTTTTACAGGTAATTATAATTACTGGGTGTCTTTTAAAGACCTTTTTACGGAAACGATACACCGTAACCCGTCGATGTCCAATGCTCAGAAGATGCAATATCTAAAATCAAAAGTTAAAGGTGAAGCAGAATAATTAATACAACATCTTCATGTGAGCTCCGAGAACTACGAAATTTGCTGGGACATATTGAACCAACGCTATAACAACATAAGGCTGATATTCACTTCGCAAATGCATAAGTTAATGAATATTCCCTCAATGCAACAGCCATCAGTCGCTGTTCTAAAAAGAATGCATGACACAACTAAGGAGTGTCTCAATGCAATAAAAAATTTAGGGGTTGATATCAGTACGTGGTACTTATGATAATGGGGATTATTGTATATCTTTTAACGCAAAAATTAGATGCGGAATCTTATACGGACTATATTGAGTCTGTAAAGAACCCGAGAGATTTGCCAATCTTAAAGGAGCTATTACAATTATTAGAATTAAAATTTACATCTCTAGAGGCATCTCGCAGAAAGCAAGACAATTCTGTACAAAAATATCAAGTAGCAACAAAAATAAGCAATAATAATCAGAAACCTAATTACTACAAAAGTGCATTTTCATCAAGTAGCAAAATTATGACGAAATCGGCGCCTTCGACTAGCAGCAAGAAAGTCGTTTCAGCAAAATGTTCATTGTGCAACAATAATGAACATGGTATTTATTTTTGTAAAAACTTTTTAGACATGACGGTATACAACCGACTTAAAACTGTTACCAAGTTCAGTCTGTGCTCCAATTGTCTTTTTAATCATCGTGGCCAGGAATGTAAGTTCGAAAGATGTTGTCGTGAATGTAAGAAAGATCACAACAGTTTATTGCATGATACATTTACGCAATCTGCCCGCCCAACGAAAAGCAGCGGAACACCAGTGCGCGGGGCGAGTGCGCTCAATAGCACAAATGCAAACGACGCAAATCAAGTGCGAAGTAGTTCACACGTGTCGCTTCAGAGCGACTCCGTTGAAGTTCTCTTACCTACCGCTATGATCAAGATCCAAGCAATAGACGGTTCTTATTATGTTATGCGCGCCCTCTTAGATCAAGGTTCTCAAACATCACTTATAACTGAGAGTGCAGCGCAGCTTTTAAGATTACCTAGAAAAAAATGTATTGGAGTTATTGCCGGGATCGGCGATAAAGAAAGCAGTGGAAAAGGGATGATTAATATCAAATGTAGGTCAATAATAAACGACTTTTCGTTCGCAACTGATGCTTTGATCATGAGGCAGCTTATCAAGAACTTGCCAAGCCAATCGTTTAATTGTCCTGATTGGTCATACCTGGATCAAATTAAATTAACCGATCCTAAGTTCTACACTAGTCGCCCCGTTGACCTATTGTTAGGGGCCAACGTATATTCTATGATTTTAATGGATGGTATATTATGTAGATCTAATTCAGTTTTACCCACCGCCCAACAAACTCAACTTGGGTGGATTTTGAGTGGTAACGCTAGGACCTTCCAATGCAATGTAGTCCTTCATTATCAAGACATAGACGATATTCAAAACTTTTGGCAAATAGAAGAAATTTCCGAGGAATCCCAACTATCAACTGAAGATGAAAATTGCATAAAATTTTATCAATCTACTACAACAAGACGGGAAGATGGTCGCTATGAAGTGAGACTTCCACTAATATCCAACTATCAAGAAAAATTAGGTCATTCTAAGTCGCAGGCTATAGCACAATTTAATAAATTAGAAAATAAATTTACAAGAAACGCTGAATTCGCAAATGATTATAAGTCATTCATAAACGAGTACTTATCGCTCGGTCATATGATACCAGCTGGCTCCGATTGCAAGTTGAAGTGTTATTTACCTCATCACGGCGTCATACGAGCAGATTCCAGTACTACTAAGCTTCGCGTAGTTTTTAAAGCTTCCGAAAAACTTCATCAGGGTGCAGCTTAAATGATACCATGTTCAGGGGCCCAAATTTACAGCAAGATCTAAAAAATCTCCTTATCAAGTGTAGACAACATCAATTTGCATTTACGGCTGACTCAGAAAATATGTTCCGACAAATTTGGCTCAACAAACAAGATCAAAATTTACAGTGTATTATTTGGAGGGATAATAAAAATTTAAATATCAAGGAATATAATCTTACTACGGTGACTTACGGGACAAAGGCGGCGCCGTTCCTCGCCATGATGACGCTTAAACGATTAACTAATGATGAGAAAAATAATTATCAAAATAGCTCTGCGACCCACGTCCCACGTCACGCGTACTCATTGCAATTATTGTTTTATAGTTATCTTTAGTCCTTTCTCCAAATATACAGTTTTATACTACAATATCAGTTTATCATTTATTAGTTCCAACCCGAACAATACGTGTATTGCATATCTTAATGGAAAATTGAATACCTACTCCAAATTTGAAAAATACATTGTCAGAGAGAAAATAATGACATGTAATCTAAGAAGTGCTTTAATTATACTGCAGACTGCATAATACACAAAAATATTTATTATACCTTTGAGAAACCAAACAAAGTATCCCAAGTCCAGAAGGCAGCCATTACCATAATCGACCATATAATTAAAATAGCAGTTTGTGAGTTAGGAAAAGACTGAACAATTCATGTTATAGTATGTGTATAGATGTTCGTTTCATTTCTGAAGAAGTTAATAGTTTAGGTTTAACACTCACGACCATCGCATCAAGCACAATTACGAGTAGAGCAGCTAACAGGCTTACATTCTATCAGGTACGTAGGCAATAAAAAGTAACCAAAAACACTAAACTTTTAAAATAATGATAAATAAATAATTAAATATCGAAAGTCATCATCTGTCAGTCATTTCTTATCCGTGCGGTGACGGAGAAAGAATACAACTCACCGCCCCTTTTCTTCCCGTGGGTGTCGTACGAAGCGACTAAGGGATGTCGGAGCTTCCATCCGCTCTTCTGGTGGTAGGGTGCCTAACACCCGCC